GGTAATATCACCAGCAACCCAACGAAAGGAGCTTGAAAGGACCCACTCATTATTGCTTCGGGAAGCACAGCTTCATATATCAATCCCCCTTCAACCCTCCTCCTTCTCAAAGGTGCAAGGGCGGGGGCAAGTTACCGGAAACAATGGAGCTGAAGCTTCGGAATGTGGTCTTGGCGGTGGCGGTGAGCGCGATGGCGATGGCAATGGCAACCGAAGCCACGTCGGAGGAATGGAATAAAGAGTTTTCCATGGACGGGCAGCTGGTGGGTGATAGGTGAGTGAGGAGGAAGAGATGATGATGATGATGGAGGTCGGGTCGGCCCGTCGGAGCCTGCAGGGGGAAAAACAAGGCACATAACCTACGACGCGTTGAAGTCGGACCGAATCCAATGTGGTTACCGTGGACGATCCTACTATGATTGCAATCGGAGGGACCGTGCCAACCCTTATCGCCGAGGTTGCACCGCCGTCACCCACTGTGCTCGAAACACTGATTGATTTCCTTATTCCTTTCTCATCACACAGCCACCTTACCAAACCATACTCACCATAATTCCACACACACACACACACACACAAACACGTGTATGCTTCGCGTGATCGTGTCCTAGTGCAATGAAACTATGTTATCCAATATTCACGATGCTTCTTAATGCTGTTGTCTCCCTTGTTTCTTTGTTCCTTTTTTATGCCTTCCACGCAGAACAAATTAATAAACGAAAAAAGGAACAATAGTCTTGTAGAAGTTGCACTGCTACTAGTTTCAATCTTCACGATTATGCGTCTGAGTTCTTACATATATGTGTGTGTAGATTATATCTAATCCTGATCCTTCTATGTATGCGCGTGATGTATAAGTTTAAGAAATTTCTTTAGTCATATTTAATTTTTATATATATACACTCCTCTGGTCCTTAATATATGACTTAATTATTGAGTTGATTTTAATCCTCAATATAAGACTTATTTTTTATATTTATCAATTTTTTAAATTACCCATATAAATATTCTATCAACCATAATCAGATAGAAGAGAAAGAGAAGATATTAAAAAGATGATTATGGTGTTTTAGAAAAAACATATCATATTTCTTATAATTAACTAATTTACTTAATTTTATTAATCTAATTAAATTAGTTAAGTAGATTTTATATTAAGGATAAGAGGAGTATTATTTGTTGCTGACATGTATGTTTGAAGGGTAAATTAAATGACCCCGATTTTCTCTGGCTTGCTGCTAACGGCGGGCTGTAAGGATTCACTAGAGAGCATATTAGATTTCACCGACTTTATTGTACTTTAGGGTTTATTTAACGATTTTTTGATGATTTTTTAGAGTATCTAAATTAAAGGAAACTCCACTAATTTTAGAGTATTTTTTAAAATTATGCAAAATTGAAAATTGCAGCATTTCTTTACTAATGTCACCTTTTTTCATATAGAATATAATGAAAAAAAAATATTTCGAAAGTGGGAGAAATTTAGGGGGTAACAGAAGCGAAAGAATGGCAACAGAGACCCCCAAATCCTATCTATATGTAGGGGGAAAATACGGATCTATCATCCATTCATCCACGTGAATTTTGGTGAAAGATGGAAAAAGATTAAGTACGAGTTCTTCTTCCCTTTTTTTTTTACCAGCAAAGTACGAGGTCAGATTTCATTCTCTCTTTCATTGTATTTCTTCGTTTTCCATCCCCCTTTTCCCACTGTTTCCAAGCCCAGCAGTTTATATTATATAATAAAATTAGATATTTTAATTTAATTCATCAAGTCACTCTCAATGTAGGACTGCGAATATTATATAACAATATCATCATCTAGTTGCATTAGTCAATAACAGCTCGAGATAGCAATTGCAATATTGTTAATTAACAGGTTGATTAATCGTGATCAAATACGTCTTTTATGGCATGGATAATAAAATAAAATTATATTTGTCTAGTGTTATATATAAATCTAATCCATTAGTCAGACTAAACGAGTTTTTAAATTCGAAAATGGGGAAAACGTTGCTGCGTTTTCTTCTAAAAGTGGTGGTACCATGATAGTCCATAGGCCGTGTCAAAACTCAAAGCTTGTCATTCTCTACAAAAACAAGTTATTTTAAATACATATAAATACAAGTTTAGACTCTAAGCTTTCATTATTTTTTAATATATTTGTATTATAATGCTAACCAATTTTGAAAGGTCCCGTTAGATCCAACAATAAAATTCATCACGACAAAGAGGCCCTCTTAATTAATTGAGAGTATTTCTTGATTCTTCATTCAACTAAACAATTTGTGTTGTTTAAATATTCCCATTTTCTTTCTCGGTTTAAACCTTGAACATTACATATATATGCCACCCGCTTTTACTATCTAGTTCTCAATATTTGAATTTTAAAAAAATATAAATCGGATTGAACATAAAAATAATTTCATAATTTAGATGATTCATACCAAAGTCAGATAATTTCAATTATTATTACTTTATTGTTTAGACTATCATTTTTATTACTTGTGAAAAATATTTTTAATCTATAAAGAATAAATTTTAATTAAAAAAAAGCATTCCATTTATATGAATAAAAGAATTTTGGGGCATAATTGCAATCCCTCTGAATGCCTAACCGGCCAATAATAAGAGGACAAAATGGGGGAACCAGAACAATGACACTACAATAATAGCATGATGCACAAGCTAACATACAAAAGAAGCTTAAGAAGCAATAATAGGAAGGCAGTAGTAGTAGAAGCAGCTTTAAAAGAATTCAAAGGGAAGAGAGATAGTCAAAAAATGACATGATTGATGTGGTCAATAAGAAATAAAATATATAATATCTTAAGGGAAAGCAAATGAAAATTTCAAAGGAATCATTATCATAATAATAACTCTTGTTGGTCTTCAAATGAAAACACCCCACTTGTGAACCTCTCTCCCTCTCTCTCTTGTAATTTCCCAAACATTGAAAGTGAAAGACAGAGTGAAGAAGACGACCTTTGAAACAGGGCATCTTCTTGCCAGAAGGATTCAGAACATCGCACATGCTCTCCTTTCTATTTCAAATTCCCCATAAATGTATTACCAACGCTCCACCATCCTTTTCTTTTTAAATACATTAATAAATTCTATTTTTACTTTCACGCAGGTCATATTTGAAGGCCCCGTGATGTAATCACGTAGGGTGTGTTTGGTATGAGGGATTTGGGAGGGGGGAGGGATTTTAATAATTTCCCCTTGTTTGGCAACACACAAATTTTAGGAGGGGAGGGAAAATTTTTTAAATTTCCCCTCCCCTCCCCTCCAAAATTGGGAGGATTTGGAGGGAAAAGGTAATATTTTATCATATTATGATCATTATGTTCATATTTGTCATGTTGTGACCATTATGTTTATATTTTGTCATGTTGTGACTATTATGCCCACGCCTTAAATAAAATAAGAGCAAATTGTCCATATTAAATATTTTTCCCTCCCCTCCCCTCTTTTTTTATAAATCCAAACAAGGTGATATTAAAATCCTTCCACTCCCCTCCCCTCCCCTTCCCTCCATTAAAATCCTTCCCCTCCCCTTCTTCTCATTGAGCCAAACATACCCGTAAGGTAGAAATGTACCTGTTCTTGTCCTAGGCAGTTAACATGCTTGTAAAAATTAATCCAAAATTTAGTTGTAGGTTAAAAATGTAAAATTTTTTATGACCTTAGAGGTGGGTCGTTTCAATTATATAAAGAGAAATTACTACGTGTTTCTAATAATAAAAAAAAATCACAATACAATCTTAATAATTAATAAGAAGTATGAATATATTACATTTTTATATCGGAACTTGCCATTACACAGGATATTTTTTAAGTAGTAACATTAGTGGTGATTTTCCCAATATTGAAGTGGGGGGAAATGAGCGATGATGCGGGACCCATAAGTATGTGAAATCGTAGTCATCTTCAGTGACAAAGAGGAAGAGGCGAAGAAGATGATCATCTCAAAAAACCATGTCTTACTGACTTTGTTCAGTTGTTGGTTCCTATATTTTCTTTACCTATCATCATCACCGGCCCCACTTGGGACCCCACCCTTCACTTTCTCAACTTATCACCATTTTTGGTCCTCCTTCAGTCAAACGCCCCATTATTAATTTAAAAATCACTCAACTTATACGCCCATTATTTCCCTTTTCCAAACACTAATTATGTCTGGTTTCCTTTTAAATTCTCAGTCATCCTCATGGAATTATAACCCAACTCACATTAATCATTCACACCAATAACTCTACTAATCCATCGATCCAATCAAGAATTCTCAGTTACATTTTATATTCTTTTCTCCTCTTATTGAGCCTAAAGCAATCTCATTTTAATTTTTTTTCCTTTAAAAAAAAATAACAGCGGGTCATATTTTTTCCTTATTAAGCCTAAAAGCAATGTCATATTTAAGTTATATGCGATTATATATAAAATTCCATTTTCTTGTTTATTAATGTATTTATCTATATATAAATTTTTTAGAATTATGCATGAAATTTTTTATATATTTTAATTGAATCATATTATTTTCCTTGTGATCAAGTTGGTGCCAATTCAAATATAATTCCAGTTATTGATACTCGAATGCCTCTCTTGGCCCGCACAATACGTAATAACCCAATCGATCCAAATTTGAGAGCTCACTGGCTCCCCGGTTCCTTCTTTTCCTATGCTTCTCACCCACTCCATTCATCTTCTTCCCATCCAATCCCATCCCTCTTTCTACTTTCTTACTCCTACTTCTTTTCCCCTCTCATCCATCCTTTCCACTCCCACTCTCTCTCTCTCTGGGTTTCTTAACTAGTGAACAAACCCTCCATTTTCCACATCTTAAAAGGTCAAGAATCTTCAAACTAGACTTCAATGAATCCCCTGTACTACCTCAATTATTAATATCCACCAGTTCATCTCAAGATACTAACTGAAGAATTTGACCGCAAAGAAGACCGGCCAATCTGGTGAAAATTTGAGTGGGAACTAACTGGTTGATGTTAATTCGGATTCATAACACTAACAGAGTGGAATTGAGCAGAACAAAAAGAAAAAAAAGTTATTATACAAACAATGGATGAAGCAAAACATTAATTCCTCGATTATTACAAATTTATCTCTCCTCCTCCTCCTCCTCATATCCAATGCCCGTTCATCTATATATATATATAACAATCTTACAACAATGAAAAAGGAAAAATTGAATCAAGAGGACGGAGAAGAAGAACCTGAAGCTCTGGGAGATGTGGTCGGGAACAGAGACAATAATCGGGGTTCGGCGTCCCTGGGAGTAGTTGCCGGCGAAGGATGTAAGAAAAACCCCTTCTCTTTGATAGCCCTCTCCTCCGCCTCCGCATCCAAACTCGGGCTTCCGTTGCCATCGGCGCATCGGTACGGGTTCGCGGCCGAGCGATCGAACGGGTCGGGTAAGAGGGGCGTGACGGGGCTGAGAACGAGGGAGGGGAAGTCGAGGATGCTGGGGGATAGGATCTCGGGTTTTCGGGGCGAAAAACCGGAATTATTGGACCCGAAAGAAGGAATCAGAGGGTTGATCTTGAGATTCTTAAGGGAATTCCTTCGCTCGTAGAGCTTGAACCCAGACTGCTGCTGCTGCTTCTTGGGGTTGGATTTGATGGGCGGGATGTGAGTCTTGGAGGAAGCGGAATCGGAGAGGGGTTTGGGAACGGAGGCATGCTTCACGGTGTCTGAAGATCCGGTGAGCATTTGGACGACCTGCTTGAAGGAGGAAGTGTCGGCCTGGACGAAGGTGGTGGGGTAAGGGGCGGCGGATTCGGATCTGGTGATGGGTTTGGGAGGGGGTGGTTGCTGGGGCGGGACTCCATTGTTGGTAGCGGAGGTTGGGGAAGGAAGGAAAGATGATGAAGAGGGGTTGGGATTAGTGTTCTCTTGGTGCCTCGGAGATACAGAAGAAGCCATGGGCGAGAGGTTATTGAGTTTTTGGGTTCAGACAGAGAGGAAGGAAGCAAGGAGGAGGATGAGATGGGAGTTTGTGACTTTGTGTGTGGTTTGGTGAGAAATGTTTTCGTAAAGACCTCACCTTTGAGTTTGTCTTTCTTTACTGTACCCACCCTCACGCGATTTCCACACGCTGCAATTATTTGTTCAACATCATTTTAAAAAAATTCCAATTAAAAATTTTACTCGTTAAAATAATTTGATAGATTTTTACGCACAGAAAATATTAATACTCTATAAATTTTATGCATGTAAAATAGAGTATTCTCACCAATAAATTTTTAATGAATTTTTTACAATTTTTTATTAATTTAAAATATGATACTTTCATATTAAAATAATATGTAAAAAATAATTGAAAAATTTTGATTTCCCAAGTAATGATAAACACATAGTGATTGGATAGAAAGAATGGGATTTTCTCTCTTAAAAAAAGGTCAAAAATTCAAATTACGCATATTAAAAAATTTATATTTTTAAAACAAAATTTTAAGTGAGTTAAAGAAAAGAAAAGGTGGGGTAGGGTTAGCCCTTTGAATTCAGATAAATTCATAATCTGAAGAAGCTGAAGTCTTTATGAAGCGAACCGAAATTTTTTATGAAAAAACTCGGTAGAAAATGAATTTGCAAAATGAAAAAAAGAAGGGGAGGGAGGAAGGTGAGGAAGACGCGGGGAAAGGAGAGTGGGGGAAAGAAGAGGAGAGGCGATTGGTGGGACTTGGAATATTAGACAAGGGAGGGGGAGTGGGGGCCACGCGGGGAGGGAAAGCGTCAAAAAGAGATTAATAAGAGGCATTGACTTGCAGAGCAGAGCGCCCCCTATCATTACTCTGACCACAGTAATATCCTATTGCCCAACTTTGAATTCTTTTCTTTTCGAGTCCTGCTTCTAAGTAACACCCGGCGTCTCTTCCTTTCACTTCCTATTTATTTTTTGAGAAAAATGAACCAAAAAAACTCTCATTTATTTCTTAGGATTAGTGTGCAGATACCCTCAACAGGATGTCTCTGGGTAGATTTTGATAAAAAATTCTGACTCTTTATAAGATTAATGGGGTTTATCCCTTGAATGAAATTCAGCTTCAATAATGAAAACAAAGTGTGCAAATTTAGCTAATAAATTTTCACTCAAAAACACTAAACACTTAAAAGTTTTTTAAGTACAAATGTATTTTAAAATTTAATTATTGACACTTAATATTAAAAATATTAACGATCAACACTGGCTTTAGAATAGTATGTAATAATATCGTTATAATTTTAAATTTATAAGGCAAGTTTGCATCTAAATAAAACTTCCTAAATAAAAATTTTATAACAAATTTACATTCCAACCATTACTCCTGCTTCTTATTCTAACTTCACGGTTTGCTTTTCAACGGTGTGCCAGATTTTGGTGGCTTGTAATTAATTATGATGTGGGTCAAGCGTCAACTCCTTACTACCCCAATCACCAAACAATCTCTCGCTCCGTATATGTTTTCCCATTCCGTCCAGCCTCTCCTTTATTCCCACCTTTCCCTTCTCAATTAAATACGCCTTTCTCCTTCTCCACTACTTATCTTTTTTACTTCTCTCCAATTTTTCCATCGCTCCAATCAGCGGCCCGAGTCTACAACTTATTTTTCCGAATTTTTATTCTATTAATAACTACTATTTTCAGTCATAATTATAAGAACTAATTTACTAATTTAAAGAGATTAAACAAAAGTTAAATTAATTATTTATAATAAATATGTGTAATTTTTTTTAAAATATCCTTATTAATTAAGTATGTTGACTATAACTCTTATTATTAAAGGACTACTTAAGAAAAAAATACATAAATATTAAAGACAAAGTAAATGAGAATCTTATATTTAAAACAAAAATAAAAATTAAACAAGATTTTATATTAAAAACCGGAAGAGGTAGTATAATTTATTGTGGCAGTGGATTCCATACCTAAAACTTAACAGCTAGATCACACTTATTCACGTAATATCTCATTTAGCTTATTTTAAATAATTTTATATTATACGAGATAAACATGGAGAAAAAATTTTGTCTGTAGCATAAAAATGTTTTTCCTTTGTGTTCACAAGCAGGCACTCAAAATATAAGGCAGCGGTCAAGGATAAATATGTGCGTTCAATATTCTAATTGTTGTTTTATGCCTACACGACTAATATCCTATGCTTTTTAAGGTGTTGTTAATGAAAATGTATTTAAATTACAATATTCATCATTAAGAGAATAGATATATCCACTTTTTCGACATACAGTATAAGTTCTTCTAATTTGATTTGGTTCAAACTTTAAATTTGATTTGATTTGATAACATCTAGAGCAGTTATTTTTTTCCCTTTATATACTACTTCTCCGGTCCTTAATATAAGACCCATTTAACTAATTTGATTATATTAATGATGTTAGTTAAGTTAGTTAATTATAAGAAATGTCACATGTTTTTCCTAAAATATCATAATCATCTTTCTTAATACCTAATCTTCTTCTACTACTTGATTATGGTTGAGGGAGTCTCTATAGGGGTAATTTAGAGAAAATTGATAAATATGAAAAATGGGTCTTACATTTAGGACCAAAACTAACTCAACAATTGGGTCTTATATTAAGGACCGGAGGAGTATTAAACTTTCCAATGTAACTAATTTATTGTGACTAATGTGTTGGCAGAAAAAAAAAATTATGTAATGCCATGAAAATCCTTACATTGCATATGATTGCTGGTCACACAGACACACATATACTCTCTTAACTTGATTTATAAGTCACTTCTAAATGTTTCAATAAGATTAAAAAAAATCTTAAATTCCATTAACTCTATTTTATAATTTAATAGTTTTTTAATTTTATTCTTGTCTAATATATGTGATGTCTTATGAGAAAAAAACCTACACCATGATAAATAAATAGTAAAATTACATAATTATATAAAAAATTAATGATATGATTTATCAAATAAGATGAGATGAGAGGAGTAACAATGTGACTTACTTTGTTAGTTAAGGGTATGTTTAGAATGACTTATAAGTAACTTTTTAATCATGATTTAGGTAAATACATGAGAAGAATTTTATCTATATTTAAATTAAATAACTGATGACTACTGTTGGTGAGATCCCCCAACTAGAATTTAAATTAATATTCTTATTAGGCAAAGAACATAAAATCTAAAAGCAAGTTTACTTTGGCAACAATAAACTAGCAATAAACAAACACAGGGGAAACGTAACCGATTAAAAATACATTAAAAAAAAGCCCGGATACGGGTTAATTCAACCTGTTAGGCTGTGTTGGCAATGATTTGATAAATATGAAAAAACCAAGCATAACCAAACCAAATGACCAATGATAGGAGGACAGTGTTGTCAAGTTGACTTGGGCTTTTTCCAAAAGTCAAACACTTTGATGCCCACAATGGGGCATGATCCTCCCAAGTTGAAATCCCAATTCCAGAATCCGAAGCTCAGAAAGCAGACAAATGAGAAAAAGAGGAAGACATGAATCCAATTCTCCATGATATTATTATTATTATCATCATCATCTGAGAATCTCAAAGGTTATAAAAAGAGCACACCAAGTGTTTGTGAAAATGGTGCGGAAAGGGACCGCTGGTGAGGGAAACACATGTGTAGTGCAACACTTAACACACAACAAGGAATAGAAAAAGACCCAAATTTATGGATTGGACAATGGTTGATGTTCCCACTCCTCACGTTTTATACCTTTCACCATTATCCTTTTTTTATTCTCTTCTCTCCCTTTCAATTTCATACCTTGTTGTTCGCAACTCCAGGTGTCTGGGATTTAATATTCATCACTCTGTTTTCTTTTCTAATTCTTTGTTGTCAGATGGTCTTGGTGGGACATGACGAATTTAAGTGTGAAAATTGTAATATACTGAATCTCACAAGAAATTGGTACGAAGAGTTGGTATGTGTGAAATTAACGAGACATCTCACTTTTGAACTTCTGATAACAAATTGTGTTTTTCTAAACAAACGTTGCTATGTACCCTAGTAATTATTCTTCTAGTCCTATTTATAAGACACTTTTAATATATTTCACACAGACTAAGAAAAACTTTAAACTATATTAACTCTTTATTAAAATATAGCAACTTCAACTTTACTCCTATTTAATATATACATCTTTAAAAAAAAATAACTATTTACACTATAATAAATGAAGGACAATATAGTACATTTATGGTAAAAATTTAATAAAGTGACTTATAAATAGGATCAAGAATAAGACCAGAGGAGTACATTATATGCTATTCTTAATTTTAAAAGGGGGAAGAGAAAGATGACTCCGACATAATATATGGAGAATTATAAATAAAAATTGGAATTAATTAATTAATTATATTCTCAACCTCACTTACAAGTTGAATTTCGTTATTTATACGTCAAGCTTTTATGATCACGAGCAGGTAGGACTAATGGTTGCTTAATTTGTTTTTTTTTCTCCATATTTTATTTAGAGCCCATATGTAATTCTTCCAGATACTACTCTGAGAAAATGTGCGCATGGAAGGTCAAGTTGGCTGCATGATTTATTGTATGAGGCCTGCATCACCAGTGGCATTTCTGGGCTTGGGATTAAAACAAAGCCCATTTTTTGGGCCAAATTTATTATCACAGGCCCCGTCTGATTGATTTCACTTTGGATTTTCTGCTTTGCTCAAAAAATATGCTATAAGATGCTACCAAAAGCAGGTTATAAGGCATACCCCCCCCCCCCAAAAAAAAAAGAAGAAGGTTATAAGAAAGAATTTTGACCATGAGATTCAAGTGAAAGGAACTTCGACCACTTAAACACGATGTCTCAAGTTCATGTTAATGTAGAAATCGTCTTTGAGAGAATTGCCTCCAACTGAACCCAAACAATGCTTAAATATGAACCTACCATAATCCCACATAATAAAAATGCTGTAAGAAATGAGAACGACGAGAGTTACAAGAGCTGGTGAGTTTAATCAAGTAGTTTAAGTTATTTTAGTATAAGGGATATCCAAACATAATAAAATATAAAACTCATGTCATTAGAGCTCAATGTCAAATCCATAACGCGAGAATCCGAAGCCCAGCAGTTAAAATTTGAGGACCTGTGGAAAAAGGGACAAAACATAAGCAAGCAGCTTGCGGAAAGTTTCATCAAGTAACTATAGATAGCTTCGGCTATAATCAAATACAGAACTCAGCAGTGTGGACCCTACATGTTAGAGTGTCCAAATGATGAATCAGAATGTTTATAAAAAAATAGACTTATTATAAATTATATAAATCTGATGCGGATCAAATCGTACTATGCTAAAAATTTATGAGAGGTAGATGGAAATTTCCGGAATGGTGGAGGAGACATGAAGGATTGGGGGATCCAAAGCCCCAAAGAATATGGCCAGCAGAGGTCCCAAGGCCCACATTTATATCAATTATTACCACACATTCGAATCTCATCATGGTTCTGCCTTTACCCCTTTACCAACATCACATCCCATTACTCCTCCTCCACTTTTTCCTTTTCTTTTTAAATTTTTTGGGAACCACAAACACTGATCTCTCTCCCTCATTATAATCCAAATAATCACTGCTTCGTATCCATACCAAAAGTTTATTGGGTTAAGGTGCGTTCAATGCGTGAAATATTTTCTTAGGTACATCTAGGATTATAAAATATTTGCAAACAGGGGTTGGGTTCGACTGGTCGCAAACGGGGGCGCAAGGCGCGTTCTCTTACCGGGTCATGGGCTCAATTCCTGACGAGGCACTCTGGGATTAGTCTGGCCATTACGCTGGGATACCCTGAGTTAGCGATAACATTCTACTTAAAAAAATAAAATAAAATATTTTGTGATATATCTAGTACTCTGAAATTTTTTTTAGGTGTATCCAACACCGTAAAATATTTTTTATACATCTAACATCTCAAAGTATTTTTTTAGGTGCGTCCAACACCCAAAAATATTTTTTGATGCATCCAGTACCAAAACAAAAAAAATACTTTAAAATACTGGGTACCTTTAAAAAATATTTCGAGGTGCTAGATACACCATAAAATACCTGAGAAAATACTTTGACCCAAAAAATATTAACCATCATTCACTTTGAACGTTTCATTATGATTTACATGTGATGAATCCCTCGTGCCATCATGCACCCCCCCTACACCCAACACAAAGGGAATCAGGAAATAGTGAATTCATTAAGTTCCACCGTATTTTCAAGTAACAAGGAGAATGAGTATTACCATTTGTTCTCTAGGGGTTACTTCTGTTTTTAGTTAATTCCTCAAATTTTATATGAATAAAAACGCATTAATCTGGCTGAACTGATCCAACAATACGTACATAGCTGCGGCTAATCTGGTTTTGCGACAGAAATAATCTTTTGCTGCAATGCATGTTTGGTTTTGCGAAAGAAAAATACATGCTGATATATTTGCAAGTCACTAGTACATCTTTGTCTTGAGACTACCGACATCTTTTTTTTTTTGGCCCCCTAAACTTTTAAAGTAATTAAAACTAACAGCTTTCTTTAACATTATCATCGCAATGAAGTTTCTCTTCGAGGTTATTCTACTGCAAGAACCCAACTTGAAGGGTTCTTCATCAGTGTTCAGCAAAAGAGAGAGAGAAAGAAAAATTCAAGAAGGCAGTCTGAATTATGAAAGAGCACAATCTACCATATCAGAAATCTTATTGCATGTGACTTGAGCACAGGCGGCAGGTAGACCAATACAACTTCATGGGCATAATCAGACACAAATACAAAACACTAGAAAAGTGGAAAAACACCAAGGCCAAAACGGCAATAACAGTAATAACAGTAGTTCATGTTCACAATCCAGAAATTGAAACTAAATTATATTCTGTGCATTTCCTTCTTAATGTGGGCATTTGGGCTCGAAAGCAAGGGGTGCCACACTGTAGAGAACGAAAGGAAGCTTGTTGTACACAAATGGCTTCTCCGGTTTCAGGCCGGCGCCGACGATGCCACCGTGGAGGTTGGACGGCTTCTGACACGTGGCAGACGGCGAGGAGACCAAGAACACCCTGCACGTGTGAGCTCCGAAGGTGGTGATGGTCTTGGGAGCTTCGAGGTAGTAGTAGCCGTTTTTGTCTGTCTTCGCCGTTTCAATCGTATGATACTTTGTGTTGTTGCACTGCAGCTTCACAACGGCACCTGCAAATTTCAAAACGACACAGTACATCAGTTGTCGTTTAGCACATCATTATACGACACGCTACGCAACGTTTTGGGTTAGCCGTCCTCGAGTACTGATGGTCCCACGCCCCACAATCAATGCCATTCCTTGTCCCCTTGTCCCTATTTTCCCAAGAAAGGCGCAGCTTTGAGAAAAGGAAATGGCTACCTTTTTTTGTTCTGGGTAACCAGAAAAATAGCAACTTTAGCCTGCACCTATGTACTGTGACTTTATCTGTCATTCTCACGCAGCATCTGTGCTCTTGTTACTTCACAAAACTATAGCAGACACACAGAAAGCTACGGTCTAACTATGGTCAAATCTAGTTTCCTTTTGGTTGATCTCTGGATAAATCTAACTTACTCCATTGGTAGAGGATTAACCACGCAACAGACAGAGGAAGTGAAAGAAAATTGTAAATCTCAGTACATGGCAGCAGATAATATTTGCCAACAAGGGAAATCCAAGTAAGTTGAACGTATGAACTATAATGCAGTAGATGGCGTATTTACTTGGGAAGGAAAGAGTAACTAAAGTAAAATAACAAGCAGAAATATGCAGGCTTATCGAAGTACAGAGTTAGAAGGTAGCTTCAATGGGGTAAAACTTGTGGGTTCCACAGGCAGAACTGAAATGTGGTTCGTAGGAACACAAAAAAATTAAATAAGAAAGGGAAATACGTACCAAGAACAGGAGTGGCTCCAAGGAGAGTGTCAACACCAGCATACTTGCAGGACTTACAGTAAACAACACCTTGGACGGCGACAAAGCTTCTGGGGAAGGAACGGCGAGGAGGGACATGAGGGGCAGGGGCAGGAGGATAATGGTGGGAGGGGGGCTTCACCGGAGCCGGAGAAGGAGGAGGAGGGTAATAAGGGGTGGGAGGCTTCACTGGAGCCGGGGAAGGAGGAGGAGGGTAATAAGGGGTGGGAGGCTTCACTGGAGCCGGGGAAGGAGGAGGAGGGTAATGTGGTGTGGGAGGCTTCACGGGAGCCGGGGAAGGAGGAGGAGGGTAATGAGGGGTGGGAGGCTTCACTGGAGCCGGGGAAGGAGGAGGGTAATAAGGGGTGGGAGGCTTCACTGGAGCCGGGGAAGGAGGAGGGTAATGAGGGGTGGGAGGCTTCACTGGAGCCGGGGAAGGAGGCGGAGGGTAATGTGGTGTGGGAGGCTTCACTGGAGCGGGGGAAGGAGGAGGGTAATGTGGTGTGGGAGGCTTAACTGGAGCTGGGGAAGGAGGAGGAGGATAATGGTGAGTGGGAGGCTTGACCGGAGCGGGAGAAGGAGGAGGAGGGTAATGGGGGTGAGGAGGAGGCTTGACTACAGGGGAAGGGGTAGGAGGAGGAGTGGGGGCGGCGGCGGGAGAGTGGTGATGGTGGTGGTGGTGGTGGTGGCCGTGGGGAGCGGGAGCAGGGGCCGCAGAGGGAGGGTGAGGGTGAGGATAAGAAGGAGGAAGAGTGTCAAACTCTTCACTGAAGACAGTGAAAGAGGAGGTGAGACTGAGAAGCAGAACAAGAAGCAGCCTTGACGCCATTTCTGGCACGGAGGAACGCAGAAGAGGGGGAGAGAGAGAGAGTGGGAGTGATGAAGTTCAAGTGCGGATTTAGGCGCTCATTTATAGCGAGTTATCCACTAAACCGGCTTGTAGAATTAAGTCCCCTCGAAAAAATAAATCTAAAAAAAATTTCACTTTTTTCCCCCCAAAAAAAAAACATACCTCATATTTCTCTGTGAAACCATTTGAATTTAAATGATTGCATATTATATGTCTGTGTGTGTATGAAAATTTTTATTTCAATAATGCACCTATAATTTTTCCCTCATATTGCAATTATGTGTCAGAAGAACATAATTTTTGATACTATAATACAGGTCAATTAATAGTATAGATGTGTTATTCCAAAAAAAAAAATCAGAAATTAATTGTTCATGCTTTTTAAATCAAGGAGTGATTAATTATTAAGTTTTATTTCTCAAACAAAATTACTGCAGTTTTCTTTTTGAACTTCTTCACATTTCTAATATAAGCATCACACACACACATATTGTCCATGCTTGTTATTTTTGCACCTTTTAAGCATTAGAACAAATTCTAAAGTTATGTTTGACTAATTGTAAATTTTTTTGGCCTTCATACTGCAACAACAAATTAGTTTATAATTCTTTAAGGTCACCCATTAATGTCATGCGCATAAGAAGTATCATGACTATAAGATATTGTTACCTGAATAAAATATATTTAAATTTTACATTGATAAAAAGTGAATTTAGATGTTAAAATATGAGATAAAAAATATATTTCCAATTATTAAAATATTAAATTGTGTATGTGTAATGTTACCATCATAAAAATCTCCATATTAACCAAACAAAACTTTGGTTAAAACCCTCCCCCCCCCCCCCAAAAAAAAAAAAGTGGCCGTGGCTTTTGTAAAGGGTCGGGCAAACCATGAAAGTGGCAGATAGGGATAAGCTTGTGTCGGGTGCACATCATCATAAGGAACAAGGATGCAAGCGACCACTGCCATCTTACGTCTATTTTCAAGCTCTTTGGCCAAAACTTGTATTTTTTTAAAAATATTTTCAAACACAAATTTTGGTTTGTCAATTTTTTTTGCCACAATTTTAATTACATATTTCTATTCATATACTTGGGATCAAAACAGAAGAAGGATTACACCTAAAGGCCTTGCAAAACTCACATTGAAGGACTTTGAAAATTTAAATTGAGGATTAAACATGAGTAGATCAAAATGTTCATGTGTTAAGAAATTACAGACTATTAGACTTACTGGACTTAATTTATACTACCTCATATACTAAATATAAGAATCAGTTGACTAATTTGAGGAGATTAAATAAATGAGTTAAATTAGTTATTTGTAATAAATAGATGTTGTTTTTCCTAAAATATCCTCACTAATCAAGTGTATCAGCTAGAACTACAATTATTAAGAGCACTACCTTAGGAAAAATGCATAATGGTAAGAGGCAAAATAGATTGAGGTTTTATATTTAAGATCAAAATAAAAATCAAATAAAGTCTTATATTAATGACCGGAAGAGATATTTTTTAATTTAAAAAATGATTAGATCTTTTTTATACTTTAACTTCAAGAAATTCCCGTGATAATTTCAAAAAAGCATGAAAAGTGATTGGTATAAAAATGGGACGCAAATTTAATTTTTTTACATTAATAATTCCTAGGCTTACTTATCATGTCAAAAATTTTAACTATAACTTCCTGGTGTGCTATGACTAAATTGAGTTCTAAAATTTTCATTATAAATTTCAGAAGATCACAATCTTTAAATATAATTTTGCCCCTTAAAATAGAAACAATAGAGGGGGAAAAAAACAGAAAAAGGCCAATGAAAGACAGAAAAAGCAGGACATGCATAGGAGGATTAAAACCCAATATTTGGAATTTTGCCCCCTTCGCCATGCGCCTAGAAGTTTCCCAAGGTCTTCGGTAATTGCACCCTTTTTTTTGACATTTTATATCCCTTCACTCTTTTTTAAAAATATTCCTTCCACATTTTAAAATTTTAATCTGACCGTACGTTAATTAATTATCAATCACCAACACATTGAATCCATATTTTTTAAACCTGAATTTTGAAACTAGGATTTTTTTTTCAAAAAAAAAAAAAGGTGCGTGGGAGAGATCAAGGTTTACAAGAGAAAGAAGAGTGATTATAATTTAAATGTATCATAAAATACATATTAATATTTACTCATATTAATCTATTTTTTGGATAGGTTTACTCTTACTAATATTTTGGTGGATTCATGGGAGACATGTAGAGGATATCTGACATTTGTGGCTCAAAACGTGATTTTAATTATTCCTAACATAAATTTAAAAAAAAAAGCTTAAGCCATTTTTCACTTCTTACAGCCAATAATTAATTGAAAAGCAGTATATGGCAAGGTCATGATGATTTGAATAACCAGATATTTTTAAGAAATGATATACTGTATCTACCCATGAACATCGCAAATTAAATTCTCTAAATATTAGCAATGTGGAACGAATTTCAATTAACAATGTATCTTATTTTTACATTAATAAATGACGATCTAAAATTTCGTCCAACGGTTAAAGAATTTTCTCCCTCCCCTTCTATTTGGCACACAACGGCTAAATAATTATGAGTTCGTATTGTTCACCTTTGATACTATTTTATTGTGTTTGGAAGCAAAGATGAGAGTAAAAAGGACAATTATTGGGCCACAAAAACAAACGGTCTTTGACGTTTCTTGCCCAAACACTATTAGTTCTTGTCGGTGGCTAGCGCAAAGGTTTCACTTTTTTCTTTGCGTACGTAACTATCCGTTACAATAGCATAACAAATTTAATTACCAAATCTAGTCAAACATATGAATCAAGATTTAAATCCCAGAGAAGTGCCCACATTTCAATACTTTAAATAGAATTATCTCCAATAGAAAGATACCTATACCTATAAAAAAGGACATAACAAGTTTAATTTCAGAGTTTTTAAACCGAAGACTACATATACTCATACAGAGATACAAAGAACTACATGAATTCCTATCCACTGAGAGAGATGCTCATATTTAGCGTCTAATAATGTCTTGAATGGGATTGTTTCCAATAGGACTGTTCACGGGACGAATCGGGACCGGGACAGGCCCGTCTTGATGAACAGTAATGGGACAGAAAATCTGTCCCGTGTCCTAGCCCGTCCCAGGGTTGTCCCAGTCCCGGTCGGGACGGGACGGGACCAGGACGTCCCGAAGTATTTTTTTAATTTTTTTTAATTTTAAAAAAATCTGATTTTTTTAATTATATTTTTTTGGGCTTAAATCTTATAAAAACATCTTTTATTTTCTTTTTTATTTGTTTGGGCACTCTTAAGCAAAAGCTCAAAATATTACATATAATAATCATTAAAAACTCTAAACAAAAGCTTTTAAACAATAAAAACTTGCTAAAAATTCTAATCATCAATAATCTCAAATCATTAACAAATATAAAACTCTAAATAAATATATCCATAGTTCCATACAATAATCTCAAATCTTAAAAAAATATGAAAAAAATGATATTATATAAATAGGATAAAAAATTAAAAAAAAAAAAATGAACCGGGACGGGACGACCCCGTCCTGATCCCTTTTTTATCCCGTCTCAGTTTGTCCCGTCCCGTCCCAATAAGACTGGGACCGGAACGGGCCGACCGGGACGGGCCGGCCTTGAACACCCCTAGTTTCCAATAGAATGATATATGTGTAAGAAGGAAAAAAAAAGATACAAGGAGACCTTAAAAACAAAGCAAACACTAAAAATCCTTCATCACCTATCCATGGAATGGGAGCTAGTAATATCTTAATTAACGCATACTAATAATTAACTTAATATTGACGTATATTAAAAAAGGCATCACCGTTATGTGTTACGTTTTACTAATTTAAAGGAGCAGACACCAACAGCCAAATCAACGAGGACAGTCCATATGTGGGATCAAATCTACACTCTTTATCTTATAGAGAAGCTTTCATCTCACCAGGATCCAAGGTTATGAATGGGTCATGATGTGCTTTATTATATTGATCCATAGTTTCCTTTACTTGGGGATCCCTATGGGATTTTCCTAGATCCGTGGCTTCTGTAAATCGATGACAAATAATAATGAGAAGAGAGAAAGGAAAACAATGAAGAGGTGCGTGCGATAATTAATTAATTAAGGTCAACTAGATGAGGAGCCAAGTTTTGTCCACCCACACATGAACGTAATCCATATCTCTAAAGATGAAATAAACGAAAATGAATTTAAAACTCCAGCCAGATCTGTGCCTGCTTCTAAAAAAAGCTAAGAAGGACGCAGCAATTAATGAGAATGCAATATACAAGGATAAATACTCATATAGAGGACGTATAGTTTATAATCAAGCACATATATTAAATTTGTGAAGCTTGGTGGCTACTCCAATCTGCATTTATGAAGCCTCCAGTTTGCATGCTTCGCATCTGTCTCCTCTCAGTCTCAGCTGAACTGTAGTTGCGTAATTTGCATGCCTTTTCACTCTTAATTTTATTATTTTATGAATAATACAAAACTCTACTCTTACGTGTTGGATCATATATGAGTCATTGTTTGTTCATGTTTCTAAGCAGACATGTGAAAGCCTGCGGAATCACAAAATTAATATATAAGATGGCTAGATGGCTATATATATAGGTTGAAGTGCAATGATCAAGACTCTTGAGCCTGATGAGTCTCTTATCTGTATATACTGATCAGTCAATGAGCATGTTAGTTATAATTAATGGAATCCCGATTCCTAGAATTAATTAATATTATCACAGAATTTTTAAGAAAGGGGGGATCAACAAATGGGGCAAGTGAGTAGTAATAAGTTAGCTGGTTTTGGCTGATGTTTTGCAAGAGATGTTTTGGAATATGGTCTTTGGGTACTAAAACGCAGTGGCCCCATGGCAAGAAGTACTGAATTAGCCCAAAAAAAAAGGACAAACAATCTGATGTCATGGGGGATTAAATATATAACCTCTCTGTCTGGCCATATATATATATATATATATATA